TAAGCAAAGTCCATAATTTACATTTGGTTTTACTGTTGTACATTTTGGGTTTTGACAAATGTATAATGTACCCACCAATGTAGTATCATACATAATTTCATTGCCCTAAGATCCTGTGTTCCACCTATTGACCCATCCTTCCACACAAACCTGACCACCATGGATTTTTTTTGTCTCCACAATTTTGCCTTCTCCAGAATGTTATAGTTGGAATCACATATTATGAACTTTTTCAAATTGTCGTCTTTCACTTAGAAATAAACATTTATAAGGTTCAGATGTCTTTTGGGGTCTTGATAGCACATTTCTTTTTTGGAACTAATATTCAATTCATTTGGGTTAATACCAAGACATGTGGTTGCTGAGTCATATGATAAGGCAGTTTTTGCTTTAAAAAAAAAAACAACTATCAAATTTTCTTCCAAAGTGGCTTTCCCAATTTGATTCACACAATGAATGAGAATTCCTGTTGTTCCACATCCTTACCAACATTTGGTGTTGTCAGTATTTTGGATTTTAGTCATTCTAGTACATATGTAAGAGTGGTATCCCGGTGTTTATTCAAATTTGCAATTCCCTATAATGGTGAGCATCTTTTCACATTCTTACTTGCCATCTGTATCTTCAGATGTTTATTCAGGTATTTTGTCTATTCCCTAATTAGGTTATTCCTTTTCTTAATTGTTGAGTGTTTTTAGTTGACCCTTAAACAAGAGGTGGGGGTGTTGGGGAACCCACCACCCAAGCTGTCCTAAATGTGGGTATAACTTAAGCCGCCCTCCAACATAGAAATACACTTGACCCTTTAACAAGGTGGGTTTGAACTGCGTGGGTCCACTTAAAAACAGCTTTTTAAATCCCATATTAGTAGTCCCACAAAGTACAAAGCCAAGTTAAGGGTCAAATGTATTTTGGATAAGTTATTAGACAAAACTTTTTTAAAAAATTTCTTTCAGTTTGTAGCTTCTCATTCACGTGACTATCTTTTTACAAAATGTGATCATGCAGTATGTATAACTGACTTTTTAATACAGCACTATAGCAAGCATTTTCCATTTTGCTTGAGACTTCCCCATTACCATTTTAAAAGGCTACAAAATAAATAATTACATTTCTCCCTCCACAGCCCCAGAGATTTTATTAGCCTCAACTTACAAGTGAAGAAAGAAGAGGGTAATTTGCCTGAGGGTCTAGGTCTGCTATACGAAGAGCTCAGAATCCTACCCTCTGGTTAACCCATCCCCTAGCCTAGGACCTAGGTTAACCCACCCCCCGGGCAACCCACCGGCGCTGTCCACTCCGCCGAGCGGCCTCTCCCGGTGGCAGAGGTTTCTAGGACCAGGTAACATTTCCTCTTTCCTGGCCTCCCAATCCGCTTCAGAGTGAGGCTGGGATGCTAACAGATTTCGGGGAACAAAGCGCCGTGGCGCAGGGCGGGCGCTCGCCCCGTCTTCCTCCACCAGGGGGTGGAGGCAGAGCGAGCAGTC